AAAAAAAAACAGGTTCACCCAGATAAAACAGGTGTCATATTACACCCCTACCTCCCCACAACGACCACCTCTCTACAACGGCCTCTTTCCTCTGTCACCAAGGGGGCCGTTGGGGAGAGGTTTGACTGTATTTAAATTGAAACGATCTTCCTCTTTATCCAATTGGCAGATGGACTTTCACTAAAAAATCCAAGGAAGTAATAATATTAATATTATTAATATTAATATTAATATTATACTTTCCAATTCAGAAACGAATATGTTAGTGCTTAAAGCTTAGTGCTTGAATGTTTGCTCGTTGCTTACTGTTTGATTGGAAGTTGATTGAGGGCCTGAATAGGGGGGTCCACATGTCAGGTTGTCGGTTAAAATTTCATTACTTTGTCGGTTGTCGGTTAAAGTTTTCGACCTTTGTCAGTTGTCGGTAAATCTCAGTTAATAATTAAAAGTGCAAGTTAATTATAACATTTTTTATGTAATTTGTGCAGTTTAAGACTTTAAACTCTACACTAAGTGTAAAACTTGTAATAATTCATTATTTGATTGCACTTAATTAAACGTCGTTAACTCTGTTTTTTTAGGAACGTGATCGTCTACCCCACTTTTGTTTGCAATAGTACACCGATAAAATCTCCAAACCTTTTATTCTAGATGTGACTTTGTTTTCCTTTCGATTGCGTGGCATCGAAGTAAATCAAGAGAGGTAAATTAGACAACGAGTATAAAGGTCCACCCTAGCCCTTGGGATACGTAATTTTGTTTCCCACTGGCCATCCGTCACAATTGCAAAATTTTCGCATTTGCCTGCAGGTGATTTGGTCAGGCGAAATAACTTTAACGAGAAACCGCCAATTCCAATATTGATGTGCCTGCTCCCTTAGTCCTAAAAACTCTGTAAGATGTTTTCTTAGCTCAGATACTCCTTTATGAGTTTCTTTGTCAGTCGGAACCCGGCTCCGATCGCGTTCGATGGCGACCTCTTCACCTTTTCGAAAAAAAAAACTCACGATGACTTTAACAATCCCACTCATAGCCCGACCGCATGAACAAACAATGGGTAGTGAAAATACAACAGTAGGGCTTCTCGTCGGCTCCATTACGAGCCGCTGTTCTAGAAATGAGCCCCCTGCTGCTCCGCGAATAGGAGGATCCCAGGGCTTTAAAGTAATTTGAAGACAGGAAATTATATAATTGACCTAATAATATACATGAAAAAATTACTCCATTCTGGTTGGCTGAGAGCAGTGCAGTTCAAGTGTAACACCAGGACAAAAAGTGTAACAGAAGTGAAAATTACACATCGTAATTCTGGATTATGATTGGCTGAAAGGCAATAGGAAATTTTCTAAGCCAGTGATGTCACGTAAAATGATGACGAAAATTTTGTACAGAAACTTTGAAAAAAGTTTTCTCGAATGAGAAAAAATGTCTTCAAGAAAGATATCCCGTCACTTCCTCCACGCGAATTTTTTCATGTTTATATTATCAATAAGTAATCATACGGTTATTCTCGTTCAATCTGGAATTAATTTGCACTTGTGAGTTTTTGGGCGGGATACCTGTGGGATCCCACATCATTGTCATCGGCTCGTGTATATCTGTTAATGCAAATAAGATTGTATCCCACACATGTACCCTCTGGGTACCTATTTTTCAAAAAGCTGAAATTGCACGAGCCCAAGCTCGTGCAAATTAATTCCAAATTGAACTCGAAACCGTATGATTACCTATACAAATTTGGAATTAATGTCGTTACGTCTGGTGAAATACACCCCACGAAAGGATCTGGACATTTCCTGAGCTAGAAATAAATTCAAAATGCTGTTTTTTCTGAATTCAAACATCCCTATAACGTCGGACCATGTCGGTTGTCGGTTAAAAGTGTTGTTGTCGCTAGTTTTGTCAGTAGTCAGTAATATTTTTCGCCCTTTGTGGCTAGTCGGTTAACCCCATTCAGACCCTCGTTAGTGTTGGCATGGTCTCACTAATCGATTAAAACGGATGAAAAGCCCATTGTTAGAGTAAAACATTATCAAGACAAGTAGAAACTACAGCAGGACAATTTATCTGAGGAGCATTACGAGCGTCAGCAATTGATAAACTTCTTACCTTTTGCATCTTTAACGAGCCTGGGCTACTTTTGCCATCATGACACCAGTAAAAGAAGCCGTATTCCGTTGAGTTTGTAGAATCTAACAAAGGAATTTTTGAACAAAGGATATCATATCCGTGTAACCTCGGCTCTTACAAAATGAGAGTTACATGAAAGTTCATGAAATTTTCTTTGGAAGCATATCAAGGGTTAAGTTGCATGTAAATGTCATACTTGCAAATATCCATCGTATCAGTGTCTAGAGTGCGGCTTAACAAACTTGCAAATTTGTAGGACCTTACGCCAGTAATTATTGCAACGGCTTTGCTTGTAAATGGTTCACTGTCTATGATAATTTCCGAAAGCAAACTGTACTCGCGGGTCTATATTTTATTTACCTTTTTCGTGTGTGCCAACATCTAATTAAATAACCGTACTTTTATTTTAAGGTAATTAAACTGAGTTGGGTAGGATTCTGGTCAACTAGGGATAACCTCCGAAGTTCCGCTTATGATATCATTGTCATAATAAATATCTTTATCGTTGTCCTACACTACGAGGAGCAGTAAAATTTAAACAATGCAAGTAGCATCAGTAGAATCAGTAATCGTGTTTAATTGTAAGTAGTTTAAGTATTGGTATAGAAAGAAGAATAAGTATTCGTATTGTATTACATCTGTAATCGTATCGTATTGCAAGTGATGTATAAGTAATCGCATTGCATAACCACTTTCTTTAGTAATGTAAGTAGCCGTACCAGTGTTCAGAAGTAGTGCTAAGTAGTGTGAATCACATTAAAATGTAAAAACGAAAAACAACATAACAAAAATGATTTAGACAACGCCCCTTCTTCACCAACAAATGGATAGAACGTTTATTGTATGTCCGTAGGCGACAAGTTATGATATAATTATCATTTGAATCCGACTAAGCAGCAGGATATTTGTAATCATTTATACGCTGCCGTTATGATCGCCTCTACTGAGTTGAAAAAGTAACATTTCATAGTAAAAGTAATGAATCAATGGAAAATGATGGAAAAGCTTCCTGAAATTGCCGAAAATCAACAAAAACTGAATACTCAGTAAAGAATCGATAACTTTGAAAGATCAATTAAGATAAAAAAAAAGAACAACAACAACCAGCCGTGAAACAATCCCGTGGAAAAGTAGCCAAATGCAAAGTTAATTACTGTAGAAATATTAGCATCCTACGGAAATCTAACCACTGTGGTACAGTTTAAGTTTCGCTTTTTAAGTATTTCGAGTGTGTTTTCGTAATAACATAAGCACTCATCACTGTCTACAGTTTTTGGATCGTGGTGCAGGTAGTTCAAGTATTATATTGTAAGTAGTGTTAAGTATTATTTAAAACTTTCATAAATATACTATAACACGATCACCTACCTGATATGGGATCCCACGATATGTTGAGATACCACTTGGTTGAGTTTTCATATTGGTTACGCTTTGGGGTTCTCAAATCTGGAAACGAGTTGTTCCCTAATGCCGGATCTTCACAGTGTATAATTTCTATATGAAACGCAAAAAAAGTTAAACCAAATTAACGCGATGAAATGGAAGCCAACATCAGCTCCGTTTCTTCACCGGTTTTGGCAATAGTAGTTGCAAAATTCTCCACACAGTGGCTTTTTGCCTTTCATTTTTCTGAAATTTTATTGACGTGACAATGCGTGCGGTATTTGTTTAAATAAATACTTTTGTACGTATTGAGTCTGACTACGTGCAAAAGTATTTATTTCAACATATACCGCGCGCACTGTCACATTAAACACCAATGACAACGAAACACTTATTATTCTAATGTACTCTATCACCTTTATTTGTATTTAATCTCGAGACTACAGCTAACACCTCTTCTTGATAATGGAGTCAAGATGACTTCGAAACGTCGTAGTTTTATTCTTTTAATATTCATTATCAAATGAAATCAAATTGTTAAGGCTATACGCCACGCCAGGAGCCACTGACCTAAGAGAACATTGCTGGGGGCACTTCTCGTGTAACGAATAACCCATAAAGTGAAGAGTTTCTAAGAACAAATGAGGAAATATCTTTTGCTTTATCGAGATCGATTTGATAGTAATGCCGTGGACAATGTTTTGACCAAGGTGTATATTCAATGTGCTCAC